CAGGGTTTCACCGTGTTGGCCAAGCTGGTCTCAAACTCCTGATCTCAGGTGATCCGCCCACCTTGGCCTCCCAAAGTGCTGGGATTACAGGCATAAGCCACCGCACCCAGCCTATATCACCTCTTGACCAAGGAGCAGGTGAAATGTTAGCTGGGCCCGGCTACAGCCTTCTCACCCTCTGCCTCAAAGCAGGAAAAGCCCCTGAGCCAATCTGACTCCTCTGAGCTGCCATGGGGCCACAGCTGTGGCTGGAGTTTGAGCTACAAGACAGGGCTCAAAAGTGGGCCTCAAATAGAACACACACACACACATACACAAAGCCTGAACTGCAGGGCATGGAAGTATCATAGGTCTCTCTACTAGTGAGGAGAAACCAATCCACGAAGAAAATGGTGACCACGATCCCACTCACACACACACAGGATCTGTGAGGACTTGATCTTTAGAAACGAAGTATAGGGTGGGCATGGTGGCATGCACCTGTAGTAGCAGGTACTTGGGAGGCTGAGATGGGAGGATCACATGAGCCCAGGGAGGTAGAGGCTCCAATGAGCTATGATCATGCCACTGCACTCCAGCCTGAGCAACAGAATGAGACCTTATCTTAAAAAAAAAAAAAAAAAGACATACAGGCCACAAGCAGTTAACCTCTCGGTTAATTTGGGAATAATTTTTTCCCAAAAATCATGTAAAATATTAAACTCAGCTTTACAGTTAAAAATAAGAAACTCCATTCTGTTAGGGAAGATAAAAAAGTCCTGTTGCATGGATGGTGGTGATGGTTGCACAACGATGTGAATGTACTTTTGCCACTGAATTGTATTCTTAAAAATGGTTAAAATGGTAAACTTTGTTATGTATATTTTACCACAATTTAAAAAAAAAACACAACTCCAAATGTTCTTTAATAAATGCATTAAGCATCTTACGACTGTATTGGGAAGAGAAGAAATCAGAAATGAGGGAGTGAAGCAGAGGCCTGGGAATCATGAAGAGGTGGGCAGAAAAGGAGGGACAATCAGGAGCCTCCCCTGCCCCAGCCCGCAATGGCTGCAGTCCCAGGCCCGTGTTCTAGGGTTCTTCAAGGCAGAAAGCCCCAGTGTCCCACCCCAGGAGTCAAAAAGACCTCAGTTGGAGTCCAGCCTCTGCAGCCTTGCTGCGTGTCTTACAACGAAGCCCTTTCACTTTCTGGGCTTCAGGGTCATGGACATGTACTACAGGGAGGCTCCGCAACTCTCTTCTTGCCCAAACACTGCACGATTCTTAGCCTTAGATATAGCTCGTGTTCATCCTGCCTGGATTCTAACAGGAACCATGGTGCCCTGAAGGTCAAGCTCAAGGTGATCTCCTTGGCCAGCCCCAGAAGGAACCCTGGGCTCTCCATCTGCCCTTACTGCTGCCCCTTCATGGGGCTGGGAAGACCTAGGCCTTGCTTCTCCCACCCTGAGGCCACTGTTGTGTACTAGGCCCCGGGCCAGGTACCAGTCATGCACTCGCACTTCGGTCTCAGAGTTCGTCCCAGTTTATGCACGCGGAAGACGATTCAAAGAGTCCGGCCTGAGCAAGGCCTGCGGCAGCGGCGACCCTCACCCGGGGACCGGGAGCCTCACCCGGGCGCTGGGAGCAGGGGCGGGGTCGTCCGGGACCCTTTCCCGGGAGGGAAGCTGCAGGGGCCTGCGGGGTGAGGCCCGCGGCGCGTCTCGGAACCAGAGCCCGGGCAGAGCTCGAGCTCCCGCGCGCGACTGCCAACGCACGACCCCGGGGCCGGAAGGCTGCCAGGCTCGGTCGGCAAGCGAAGAAATGAACCTCCACAACGCGGGCGCTTGGGGGCGGAGGCCCGAGTGCGAACCCGAGCCCCAAATCGCTACCCAGGCAGGGTGGGGCCCGGGGCGGGGCCTTGGAGGCCCAGCCAGCGCGGCGACGTCTCCGCACGGCATCTCGGCACCGACTGACAGCCCTACGCCATGGCCGCAGACCGGAGAGCGAAGGCCGACACCCTGGCGCTGAGGCGGCAGCTCATCAGGTACCCGGGAAGGGGGCGGTCGGCGCGGGGCTGCGCGGGGAGGCACGCGCACGCACGACGCACGGACGCCCGACGCACGCGCTTCAGGGAAGGAGGCCGCAGCTCCCCAACCCGCCCCGCCCCAGTCCCGGCCCAGCTGGAGCTTCGCAGGGCCAGGAAGCGGGCGGCGGTGCTGGGCTATCCGTGCGGGTGGTCTCCGCTGCGCGGCCGCCTCCCCCACAGCACCGTCTCCAGGCCGCCCAGTTCAGGAGCCGGCCCCGCCCACACCGCTGTCTCGGCTGTGACAGCCTCGTTCGGCAGCCTTTGCCCCGAGAAGACTTTCACCCGGGCGCCTGGGAAGACCTCACCCAGCGTGGCCTGTCAGCAGCACCTGGGCCTGGCTCGAGAGCGCCCTGGGGGTGGGGCGCTGAAAGGGCAGACGAAGGGAGAGTCGGAGGAGTCGGTTAACAGGCAGCCTTAGAGAAGGCCCACACTTGACCTGTGAGGGGTCCCTCGGTGGGACGGTAGGTGAGGCAGCCTCCCGCTGGAGTTCAGGGCTGCCACCCAGCCAGGGGGACCACGTGGCTGGCAAGGAGCAGTTAGGGCTGAGAGCCAACCACCTAATGTTGGTGCCCTACCCCATCCCATTGAGGACACGCGGCCTTACGGAGCCCCCGTGGGCCTTGGTCAACCACCTATTCTCAGGATCCAGGGGACTGACGCGGCCACATGCAGAAATGAGCAAGGAGGTAACAGAGGCTTAAAATACTTTAAGAAACAATTCTAAGTTTCAGCAACTTGTTACCCCATCCGCTTCCTCTTTTGCAACCACCTATGAAGTGGGGAGACCAGGCAGGGAAGCAGCATCTTGCCCTTCAGGCTTTCATGTTCTTCCCAGAACTGGGAAGGGATGGGCGGAGGCCTGTGATGAGTAGATCTCCCTTTAGGTCTTCAGACATGGCTGTCCACTCCTTGCCTGTCCCCACAGCTCTTCCTGCAGACTCTTTTTTCCCGAGGATCCTGTTAAGATTGTCCGGGCCCAAGGGCAGTACATGTACGATGAACAGGGGACAGAATACATCGATTGCATCAACAATGTGGCTCACGGTCAGTATCATACCTCAGGCTGGCAGGGCAGAAGAGAAAGCCAAGGCTGTGAACTTGGTCCCAAGGTGACCCGAGATTGCAGAGAGGTGTGGAGAACCTGGGTTGAATTAAGGCACTAACAATACGCAGAGGAGGCTCAGTCTTTGCAATATAGCTGTGGAATGCTGCAAGCTGGAGCTGTGCTAAACCAGGCAGGAGTCAAGAGATCTAGGTCTGTGGGTCTAGTTCTACTTGGGACTGATCATGAGCTCACATTCACGAGGTCAGGAGTTCGAGACCAGCCTGGCCAACATGGTGAAATCCCATCTTTAATAAAAATACAGAAAATTAGCTAGGCACGGTGGTGGGTGCCTGTAATCCCACCTACTTAGGAGGCTGAGGCAGAAGAATGGCTTGTACCCGGGAGGCAAAGGTTGCAGTGAACTGAGATCAAGCCACTGCACTCCAGCCCGGGGACTCTGTCTCAATTAAAAAAGAAAAAAGCAGAGACTCTAGTCTTAGACTGCTTGGGCTCAAATCCCTGTCCCCTACTAACTTTGTGATCTCGGGCAACTTACTTAATTCTCTGTGACCCTATCTGCAAAAGACATGATGATCCTAGGTATCCACGTTAAGGTGTTTGGAGAATTAAGTGTGTTAATTTATGTAGCTTGCTCTGAATATGCCTGGCACATGGTGAGCTCTGAGTACATATTCACTGTTATTATCCTTGGCCTTGGGAAATCAAGATTACCGCCAGCCCCCATTGGCTGGTGAAGTGAAACCAGTTGACAGTCACTCCCCAGCCCCACCTTTGTCATGCAAGCCTCAAAAGGCCTTCCAGCCTGGGCAACATAAGGAGGAGACCTTGTCTCTAAAAAATAAATAAAATACTTAAAAATTAGCCAGGCATGGTGGCTGGTGTCTGTAGTCCCACCTACTCAGGAGGCTGAGGTGGGATGATCACTTGAGCCCAGGAGTTTGAGGCTGCAGTGAGTACCATGACCACATCACTGCATTCTGGCCTGGGTGACAGAATAAGACCCTGTCTCAAAAAAAAGGACATGGCCTTTCTAGATAGGGTTCTTCTGCTGAAGAACCTTTTCCTTCTACCAGAATCTCAGGAACTCCTGGATCTGCCTTTCCAGAACCAGCGTTTCTCACCCTGTTCTGCCTTTAGACTCCCCTCTTTCTACCTGTCCCTCTGGAACTGCGTCTCTTCTGTCTGGGTTTATAGCTTGGGGCTGGGGGAGGCCGGGTGGGACTCACTGAGCGGAGTCAGCTGGGTGATGAAGGTGGCCCTCTTCCAGTTGGGCACTGCCACCCTCTCGTGGTCCAAGCAGCACATGAACAGAACCAGATGCTCAACACCAACAGCCGGTACCTGCATGACAACATCGTGGACTATGCACAGAGGCTGTCAGAGACCCTGCCGGAGCAGCTCTGTGTGTTCTATTTCCTGAATTCTGGGTAAGTGGACTGCAGCCAAAGCCCAGCAAGAGGGTGAGACGATAACGAAGAGAGTCGCTCACATGGGCCCAGTGTTGTGTAGCTGACCAAGCATGGACTTGGGGAGAGACAGCCCTCGTTGCCCCAGGCTCCTGGCAGATTCCCAGCTGTAGGTCCTGTTGCTTTTTCTGTTGGATCCAGTTTCCTTGTCTCTTACTGAAGGATGCTATTACCTCCTTTCTAGGATCATTGCTGGGGCTTAGTGAGGTAATATGTTCCCTTATTTCTGCCTTAGGGATACAGCTAAAATCCCTGCCTATAGGTTGCTCAGTAAGAAACAAAAACATCAAGTGATTCTGCAAAGGAATACAGAATTACAAGGAGGGCTCTGGAGGACGTGTACAGGGTATCCTGAGGCCTAGAAATAGCGAGGGACCTGACCTGTTCTAGGGGTACAGGGAAACCTTCCCTGAAGAAATGATGTTAAGAGCTGACTAGGAGAGGAGGAAGATGTTAAGCTAAGAGCTAACTAAAAGAGGAGGAAGGAAGGGTGCTGCCACTGCTAGTCAGAAGTCTCGTCAAGGCTGGGTGTAGCCAGAGACCACCTCCTAAAATGAGAGCTGTCTCATGTCCAATTTCTCATTAAAACTCTTCAGTGGCTTCACATGGCACTAAGAAGAAAACCCAGGCTCCTTCCCAGCCCTGTGCTTGTGGCCCCTGCATATCTCCCCACTTCCTCTCCTGCTCTGCCCTCCTCAGGCCTTGGCCTCCCTCATCTTCTTCTGGTTCCCTGAGCACAGAGTTCTTTTCCTTCACAAGGCCTTGGTGGATGCTGTTCTGTCTGCCTGGAAACTTCTCCCTCAGGACCCAGTGCAGGAGTTAACCTCCCCATAGAAGCTTCCCCTGACCCTCTGTATTGGTCTGCTCTGGCTGCCATAACAAAATACCGAGACTGAGTATCTTAAACAAGAGACATTTCTTTTCTCACAGTCCTGGAGGCTGGAAGTCCAAGATCAAGATGCTGGCAGGGTTGGTTTCTTCTAAGGCCTCTCTCCTTGGCTCGGAGATGGCTGCCTCCTCCCTTTGACCCTGGTTAGTCTTCTGTCTGCAAGTGTCCCTACTGTCTCTTTGTGTGTCCAGATTTCCCCTTATAAGGACACTGGTTAGATTGGATTAGGGGCTCCCTGATGGCCTCATTTTAACATAATCACCTCTCTATCTCCATATCCGTTCACATATGGGCCATTCTGAGGTACTGGGGATAGGGGTTCAACACATAAATTTGGGAAGGGGGTGCAGTTCAACCCATAACATGCCCTCTTTGGTTCTCTCTCCCAGGGCATCCATCGTAGCACTTAGCAAAATATTCGCTTTTCCTTTTTTGGCTTTTGTGGTAGCATGTGTGTGTGTGTGTCTGTGTGTGTCTATGTATATATACGTGTGTGTATATATATATAAATTCACAGACACACACGTATATATACATACACATATATTCATTTTTGTCCACAGTTCCTGGCTCATAACTCCCACAGCCCTTGTTACACTCTTTTATAACATCAGGTGTGTTAGGCCTCAGGAGACAATCACCTTCTCCTGCCTTCTTTTCACCTGCCCAAGGCAGGACTAATCTTCCCTACCTCTCTGATGATGGATCGTAAGACTCATTCAGGGAGGGTCCCACCCCGTGTCCTGGTGTAAGGAATGCTGCTATCATGAAGCTTCCATAAAAACCAAGGGGACTGGATTCAGAGAGCTTCCGGATAGATGAACACATAGAGGGTCCTGAAGAGTGGCGCACCCAGGGAGGGCACGGGAAGCTCCATGCCCTTCCTTCATGCCCCTCCCTATGCATTTCTTCATCTGTATCTTCTGTAATATCCTTTATAATAAACCAATAAATGTATTTCCCTGCGTTCTGTGAGCCACTCTAGCAAATTAATTGAACCTAAAGAGGGAATTGTGGGAACCTCAACTTGAAGCCAGTAAGTCAGAAGTTCCAAAGGTGGCTGGCACGGTGGCTCATGCCTGTAATTCCAGCATTTTGAGGCTGAGGTGGGAGGAATGCTTGAGCCCCAGTCTGGGTAATATAGTGAGACCCCCTCTCTACAAAAAGAAAAAAGAAGTTCCAGAGGCCCAGACTTGCTACTGGTGCCCAGGGGGCTGTGAGGCAGTCTTAGGCATTGAGCCCTCATGCTGTGGGTTCTGATGCTGTCTCCAGGTAGTGTTGGAATTGAATTGGAGGACACCCAGCTGGTATCCGCTGCAGAAGTGATTGCTTGCCTGCTGGTGGGGAGAAATCCTTACATATTTTTTGGAGTCACAGAAGTCTTCTGTGTTGATTGTTAAAGTGTGAAAGCAGAGGAAAAACAATGGGTTGAGTTTTTTCCAAACAGCTTTCATGACACATACGAGAATATAAATTCCAGGAGGGCCAAGGCTGTGTCTATTTTACCTGCTCTTTTTGACCCCAGCTTCTAGCACATTGGAGGCATTTGATATATACCAAACAAATAAGCAAGTGACTGACTAGTTGATGTCCTGAGAATCTTCTTGCTGCTAGAAGAGTCCTTCTGCCCTCAGCATTCCTCTGTGGGAAGCTCCTGGAGCACTGTCTGACTCATGCCCACATTTTTGGTCATAGGTCAGAAGCCAATGACCTGGCCCTGAGGCTGGCTCGCCACTACACGGGACACCAGGATGTGGTGGTATTAGACCAGTAAGTGCAATTCGCCGCCCTACTGTTTCCAGAAGCCTGGCCCACAGGCCTCTTGGGGATCTGTGAGACTGACTCTGGGTGCCTTAGGCAGGGAGGACGAGGGGCCTGGGCTACTGAAGGCAAGCATGGCAGGCAGAGGACCAGGCAGTGGTTCTACAACATTTTATACTTTCAAACTGTCCCCACAGTAGCTCCCATGAATTGAGTATGTAATGTGCACAAGGCCCAAGCTGAGAGCATCAACACATTTAAGATTCATTATAAAGAAAGAGGAACTTCCACCCCATTTCATGGGAGAGAAAACAACCCAGAGAGGTTAAATGATGAGCCACTGTCACATAGCCAGTCAGCAGTCTTCCAAGAAGTGCTGCTGACCCCAAAGCCTGTGCTCTTCCCCAGCCCAAGGACTTGGGGGCTGTGTCAGGAAAGTTGGCCTCCCCTGTGGGTCTTCAGGGGTGGGGAGACCATGGTCAGATGGGCCAGGGAGTGGGTACCACCTGGGCCTGAGCCTACCCTCCCTTCTCCTCCCCAGTGCATATCACGGCCACCTGAGCTCCCTGATTGACATCAGTCCCTACAAGTTCCGCAACCTGGATGGCCAGAAGGAGTGGGTCCACGTGGTATGCACTGCCCAACTCAACAACAGGTCGGTGCCTGCCCCCAAGCCCAGATAACATGGCGCTGTCACTCCCCACAGGCACCTCTCCCAGACACCTACCGGGGCCCCTACCAGGAGGACCACCCCAACCCAGCTGTGGCCTATGCCAACGAGGTGAAACGTGTGGTCAGCAGTGCACAAGAGAAAGGCAGGAAGGTAACCATGTTCATGCCTGTCCAATCCAGTAAACAATGAATGTCACCTCCATTGTTGTCACCACCCCTGTGCTAGATCCTGGGAACCCAGAGAGAAAAACCAAACGAGGCCCTGCCCTCTAGAAGTCTGGGTAGGGGCAGTTCAGGCTCAGCAGAGTCTTAGCGTATGGGTGTGATAGGCAGCCAGACCCCGAGCAGGCCTCGGGGTATATCAAGGGAGGTCCTTAGAGGAGGTGCTCCCTGATAGGGTAAGGGTCAGCCTCTCCAAGCTGGTGAATAACAGAGGAAGGGCATCCTAACGGGTGGCTGAGAAACCATGTGAATGGGTGGCCAGGCAGAATAGGTCGGGAGCTGAGCCTGGCGAGGCAGGCAGGTCCACATGCCAGAGGGCACCAGAACTATGCTGAGCAGCTGGAGTTCTACCTTGGAGGCCCCAGAGAACCACCAAAGAGTCTTAAGCGGGAGAGCAGTAAGATCACGGGGCTGGTGCTGGGGCTGCTCTCTGACTCCAGGGCTGTGTGAAGGATAGATTTGAATGGGACAGCCTGAGATCAGGTGACCATGATTTAGGCCCCAAGCGAGCGGTGGGGAAGCCTGATAGGGGCAGTATAGTGGAGACAGAGTGTAGGTGTGTTACCCATGGTGACAGCAGAGGGAGGACTGTTGGCAACAGGTGAGGGCTCTCTGAAGGCTTCACTGAAGGAGTGACAGAGCCAGACACAGGAGATGTGGCAAAGAAAGGCAGCCTGTGGGGCCAGAAAGGTTAGCAGAAGCCGACCAGGGAAGCCTTGCCTATGTGTTTCAGGGGCTCTGCAAACCCTTCTATAAAACCTAAAAAAGCAGATTGCTCTGATTGCGACAGGTGTGGGGGACCAGTATCCCATCCCATTGGCCCTGCCCTCCCACCTGTTGGCAGAATACAGTTAGGAAGTCACTGCCATATGCAAAAGGGGTTACTGAGGGGTTTTAAACAACAGTGATATGCTCAGCTCTCTGGGTTGAGGCATCCATCACCGTGGTGGCCATGTGGAGAATGGACTGGACGAGGCATCCAGTTAGAAGGCATCTGCAGGGCCGGGCGCGGTGGCTCACGCCTGGAATCCCAGCACTTTGGGAGGCCGAGGCAGGTGGATCACGAGGTCAGGAAATCGAGACCATCCTGGCCAACCTGGTGAAACCCTGTCTCTACTAAAATACAAAAAAAATTAGCCGGGCATAGTGGTGCACGCCTGTAGTCCCAGCTACTCAGGAGGCTGAGGCAGGGGAATCGCTTGAACCCAGGAGGCAGAGATTGCAGTGAGCTGAGATCGCGCCACTGCACTTCAGCCTGGCAACAGGGCAAGACCATGTATCAAAAAAAAAAAGAAAGGAAAAAGAAAATAAAAGAAGGCATTTGCAGGAGTCCAAGGAAGAAACAGGCAGATCTGCAGGAGACAAGCATGTCCACGCAGAGGGCAAGGAATAGGTTTAGAGAGGAGGCTGAGGTAGAATCCTTGGGCAGTGCTGACTGATGGGTGGAGGGAGGGGGACGGAAGGAACAGGCTTGTGGGGGAGAAATCAGTGCATTTAGTTTGGGGCATGCCAAGTACTAGGCGCCTGGAGGCATCCAGGTGGTAAGAGCTTGTTGGAGGCCTGAGAGAAAACTGAGTCACAAACCTTCAGATGTGCCGTGGAGTCCAAGGGGTGCAGCAGTGACGGTGACTTGTCCTTGGACTAAGCCAGCACTAGCAGGGCACAATGAGCCAGTCACTGCACACCTCCATGGTCACGTTCCCAATGTCCATCTCTTCACAGATTGCAGCCTTCTTTGCTGAGTCTCTGCCCAGTGTGGGAGGGCAGATTATACCCCCTGCTGGCTACTTCTCACAAGTGGCAGAGTGAGTAGGTGGGCGGGGTCTGCCCTAGGGAGGCCAGGGCTCTAATGGGCTTTTCCAACCTCTGGTCCAAATCCCAACTTCAGCCTGGCCTGACTGCCAGAATTTTGAGACAAAGCCCTTAAAGAAATAATGGCCCAGAGAAGGCCAGCCATTTGCCCATGGCCCCCACCTTATTACTGGCAGAACCAGGATGCAAAGCCCCGAGACCTCCTGACTCCTGGTCTTATCCCTCTCAACCACAGCCCCCACATCAGTCATCTGTCCTCTGCCACAGGCACATCCGCAGGGCCGGAGGGGTCTTTGTTGCAGATGAGATCCAGGTTGGCTTTGGCCGAGTAGGCAAGCACTTCTGGGCCTTCCAGCTGCAAGGAAAAGACTTCGTCCCTGACATCGTCACCATGGGCAAGTCCATTGGCAATGGCCACCCTGTTGCCTGTGTGGCTACAACCCAGCCTGTGGCAAGAGCATTTGAAGCCACTGGCGTCGAGTACTTCAACACGGTGAGTGACAGCTCTAAAGCAAGGGAGCAACATGAGTTCTGACAGGCCCCTGGTGATCAGCCTGTCCTTAGTCAGCAAAGGCTACAGGGCTAGCCCTGTGTCCAGCACACACTTCCAAGATACTGTCCTTAAGATCATAGCCAGGTCAGGTAAGAAAACATAAAACATCTTTTAAAATTAATGTCAATCCAAAAACTGTCACAGGGGACCATGTCTTATAAAATATATAAAAAAGTATGAGTCCTTGTCTCCCTTCCAGCAGAAGCCACCCACTCTGTGCCAGGCCATGTGTCAGGTGCTGGAACTTGAGCTGGTTAAGAGGCTTGTGAGGATTGTGGTCTACTTGGGTAATACATGATCTGGGAGCAGAGTTCACACTGCAGTAGCTCCCTGCCTTTGGGGTACAGGGTCAAGAGCTTTCCCTGAGTGAAGCTGACAAATGGCATATTCAGTGGCCCTGAGGCAGCAGTTGCAGAGCAGGTGAGATGATGATGGCAGGCAGCAGGAGCCCTATAGGAAAGAGCTGAGGAGTCTGTACTGATCCTGAAGACAGTGAGGACTGCAGGAGGGTTTTAGTCCTGGAGAGAATGCTCTTTGAAAAGATCTCTGATGCTCAGTGTGGAGAAGGAACTGGAGGGAGGGAGACTGTTCCAGGGAGGAGAGGAGGAGGCCCAGAGGAGGGGGAGCAGGGACAGAGGGTTGAGAACTCACTGTGAGTTCCTCAAAAAGCCAGTTCAAATTGGGGACTGAAACATGTCAGGATTTGGCAAGATAAGGCAGAGAAGGTCCTTGGGGGTGAGGGAAGTGACACTTTGGCTGGCGCATTCAGCCAAAAACCACCACTCAGTGTCCACGTGAACATAGAGCCTGAGACAAGCTCACTGTCAGGGAAAGACAGGCTTCCAGACTCATGGTCATGATAGCATGGAGGACAACAGTGGAAGTGGTGTGTTCACGGGGCTGTGGGAGCACAAAGGCCATCCCAGATGAGAGGTGGGTGAAGAGCTGTGGGACAAGCCATAGAGGCTTCATATAGACGGCAAGGCTAGAGCTGAGTCTGGAAGGCTGAGCAGAAAATCAAGTGTGTTGTGTAAGGGGAACAAAAGCCCAGTGGAGCAGCATCTTCACTTTTATTTCTTTATTTGACCCTCAAGTGTAATTAGAATCCTTGGCTTATGGAAGACTCTCAACATCACTCTGTGCATAGCCCTCTTCTAGTTATTCAGTTAACCTTTATTAATGTTCTACGCACCTGAGAAGCCATCATGCCTAATAAAAGCTAGGACCTTGACAATATCCTGCATCTCTCCAGATGTTCCCCCAATCCCCTTATTGCCTCCTCCACCCATCAGTCTGAATAACCATGGTAACCATCACTCTGAATCCCATATTCATTATTTAGTTGTTTTTTTAATTTATCATGTCTGTCATGCTGTATATACTGTGGGGATTCTTTTTTCGACTAACATCACTAAGAATCCTCCCTATTGCCTGTCACTGAAATTCCTTTGCTTTGACCATTGTATAATCTTTTGTGTAAATGTACCACAGTTCACTCATCCATTCCTATTGATGTGCTTTGAGGTTGTTCCTTTTTTTTTTTTTTTGCAATTATGAACAGTGTTGCTTTGAACAATTTTTCTAAGTCTCTGTTGTACATGAGGCAAGAGTACATTAGGACTGTACTCTTGTGCAATTCCACCCTCAGGTACAGTAATTAGGACTGTACCTGAGGGTGGAATTGCTGGCTCATATGGTATGTGTTCACCCTTAATTTTAAAAGATAATGACATTTGTTTTCTGAAGTAGTTCACGAGTTAACACCCCACCCATAGTGTGTGTGTGTGTGTGTGTGTGTGTGTGTGTGTGTGTGTGTGTGTGCGCCCGCGCGTTTTTGAGATGGGGTCTCATTCTGTCATCCAGGCTGGAGTGCAGTGGCACAATTTCAGCTCACTGCCTTTACTTCCAGAGCTCAAGTGATCCTCCCACTTCAGCCTCCTGAGTAGCTGGGACCACAGATGCATGACACCACGCCCAGCTAATTTTTTGTATTTTTGGTAGAGATGGGGTTTCACCATGTTGCCCAGGCTGGTCTCAAACTCCTGAGCTCAAGTGATCAGTCCACCTCAACCTCCCAAAATGCTGGGATTACAGGCATGAGCCATGGCACCCAGCCTGTATCTTCTTCAGTGCCTTTTAAATTTTGCCAGTCAAGTGGAGTGTAAAACATTAGCTTGCATGGTCTTGATACGCCATTTCCTGATTTCAGATTACATGAATTACCTTTTCATGTTTTTGGCCATTTATTTCCTTTTCAATGAAATACCTGTTTGTGTCTTTTGCCCATTTTTTGATTACTGGTGCTTTTCAATTATATTTGTGGGAGTATTGTGTCTGTTTGTATATGTGTCTGTTTATGTGTATATACCAACATATACATATCTATATATTCTTGATGCTAATTCCTTGTCAGTTGTGTATTTATGAATATGTTCATCTAGTTTACAACCTGTCTTCACTCCCTTTACATATTTATGATAAATTTTTAACACTTTGTCAACTCTATCATTTTCTTTCATAGACAGTGTTTTTCATGTATTGTTAAAGATATCTCTCCCTACTCCAAGTTATAACATTTATGTTTCCTCTTAAGTCTTTTAACATTTTGTTTTGACATATAGGTCTTTAATCCATCTGGAGCTGATTTTTGCACACGATGTGAATCAGGAATCCAATTACATCCTTTGTGCATGTGATACCAGAGTGTTTTCCTTTTTTCAAAAATCTTTTTCTGCTCCCTTTGTTCTCCACTAATCTTAGATGCCACTTCTGTTATGTAACCAAAGTTCACACATGAAAGATTTGTTTCAGGACTCTTACACTTTTTTGGTCATTTTGGTCAGATTACCTTTCATGTACCACATTATTACTAGAGCTTCATAATAGGTTCTACATTTATAATAGGTTCTGGTATCTTGCAGAAAAAGTCTTTTCACCTGTGACTATTCCTGTTCCTTTTCTCTTTCATTTAAATTTTAGAGTTACCTTTAAACAGTTTATGAAAAACTCTGCTGGGATTCTGATAGGGGAATTGCTTGATCTTTTAGATCAGTTTGAGGAGACCTGTTTTTGTTTTTTTTTTCTTTTTTGAGACAGTCTCTCTGTTGCTCAAGCTGGAGTGCAATGGCATGATCTCACCTCACTGCAACCTCCGCCTCCCAGATTCAAGTGATTCTCCTGCCTCAGCCTCCTAAATAGCTGGGATTACAGGCACCCGCCACCACACCTGGCACAACTTGATATTTTTTGTATTTTTAGTAGAGACGGGGTTTCACCATGTTGGCGAGGCTGGTTTCAAACTTCTAACCTTGTGATTTGCCCACCTCAGCCTCCCAAAGTGCTGGGATTACAGGCATGAGCCACCACATCCACCTTTTTTTTTTTTGAGGCAGTCTTGCTGTGTCATCCAGGATGGAGTTCAGTGGAGCGACCTTGGTTCACTGCAACTTCTGCCTCCTGGGTTCAGGCGATTCCCCTGCCTCAGCCTCCCAAACAGCTGGCTCCACCACACCCAGCTAACTTTTGTTTTTGGGGTTTTGAGATAGAGTCTCATTCTGTCACCCAGGCTGGAGTGCAATGGCCCAATCTCAGCTCACTGCAACCTCTGCCTCCTGGGTTCAAGTGATTCTCCTGTCTCAGACTCCCAAGTAGCTGGGACTACAGGTGTGTGCCACCACACCCGGCTAATCTTTGTATTTTTAGTAGAGATGGGGTTTTACCATATTGGCCAGGCTGGTCTTGAACTCCTCACCTTGTGATCCACCTGCCCCAGCCTCCCAAAATGCTGAGATTACAGGTGTGAGCCACCACGCCCAGCCTAGATTTTTACTGTATGCTATCACATTAAAAAAATTTTCTTCTATTACTTGAGTAGGAATTGAATTTTATCCTTTTTATGCATGTAGTAAAGTAATATTTTTTCTCTTTTGTTAACATGGTGAATTATGTTTATGGCTTTTCTAATATTAATCTTTGCAGACCTGGGACAAATCAAACTTGGATATGGGGCGTTATCATTTTTATATATTATTGCATTGTTTTTTGTGAATTTGGCCTCTATTTTCAGGAGTAAAATGCTGGCTCACATCTTTTTTCTTATATCTTGGGTTTTGATACCTGGGTCCTCCTAGCCTTATAGAATCAACTGGGAAACATTTCTTTTCTTTTATATAAAATTGGGATGACCTGTCCTTTGAAGGCAAAAACTCACCTATAAAGCCATCTGGGCCCTGTGTTTTGTGGGAAAATATTTAACTGCTCCTTTAATTTCTTTAAAAGTTATGTTTTAGTGAATTCAAGATGATATAACAAAATACCATCGACCGGGTGGGTTATAAACAACAGATTTCTCACTGTTCTGAAGGCTGCACATCTAAGATCAGGGTGCTAACATGGTTGGGTTCTGGTGAGAGTCCTCTTCCAGGCTGCAAACAGCCAACTTCTTGCTGTACCCTCATACAGCTGAAAGGGTGAGAGCTCTCTGGGATCACTTCTATAAAACCATAATCCCATTCATGAAGACTATTCTTGTGACTTAATAACCTAAAGGCCCCACCTCATAATACCATCACATTGGAGGTTAGGATTTCAACATATGAATTTGGGGGGACAAAAACATTCAATTTATTGTAAGTTATATGGGGTTTTTAAAGTTTTCATATGTGCTTTGTGCCTTTGTCTTCCTCCTCTCCTTCTGGGACACCCATTTGCATATGTTGGTATGCTTGTGTCCTCAGGTCTGTAAGACTCTGTTTTTCTTCATTCCTTTTTCTTTCCGGTCTTCAGAGTGGACAATCTCAGTTGACTTATTTTTTTTCAGTGATTCTTTCATCTGCCAGCTTAAATCTGTTGCCTGGCACGGTGGCTCATGCCTGTAATCTCCAAGCACTTTGGGAGGCTGAGGTGGGTGGATCACTTGAGGTTAGTTCAAGACCAGCTTGGCCAACATGGCAAAACCCCATCTCCAATACAAAAATTAGCCGGGCATGGTGGCATGCACCTACAGTCCCAGCTACTTGGGAGGCTGAAGAACAATCGCCTGAACCTGGGAAGTGGGTTACAGTGAGCTGAGATTGCAGTGCACTCCATCCTGGGTGACAGTAAGACTCTGTCTCAAAAATAATAATAATCTGTTAAGTCTCTCTAGTGAATTCTTCATTTATTGTGCTTATCAACTTGAGATTTTGTCTGAAAATTAATTAAAATTTGTTTATCATTAGACTGTTTTTGTAAGACATCATTTTCATGCTTAGCTTTTAATTATTTAGGTACAGTTTCCTGTCATTCTTTTTAACATATTTGGTTTTGGGGTTTGTCTGCTTGTTTGGAGACAGGGTCTTGCTGTCACCCAGATTGGAGTGCAGTGATGCAATCTTGGCTCACTGTAGCCTCAACCTCTCGAGCTCAAGTGATCCTCCCACCTTAGCCCCCAAGCATTTGGGAGTACAGTCATGTGCCACCACGCCTGGCTTATTTTTTGTAGAGATGGGATTTCACCATGCTGCCCAGGCTGGTCTCCAACTCCTCAGCTTAGGCAACCTGCCCACCTTGGCCTCCGAAAGTGCTGAGATTACAGGCATGAGTCACCGCACCCAGCCAACATATTTGTAACATCTGATTTAATGTCTTTGTCCAATAAGGACAGTGTCAGCTTCCTTGGGGACAGTTTGCATTGATTGCTTTTTTTTCTCCCATGTCTGAGCCACGCTTCTTTCTTTGCATGTTTCAGAATTTTGTTAAAAGGTGGACATTTTAATATAATGTGGCAACTATGGAAATCATACTCTCCTCCCTCCCCATGGTTGTTGCTTTTCTTGTTTAGTGCCTTTTCTAAACTAATTCTGTAAAGCTGTTTTTGTCATCTGTGGCCACTGTAGTCTCTACTTGATTAGCTTGGTGGTCCTCTAAACATTAGATCTCCTTACTTAACTGGAACCTGTAAGTCACTCGGCCAAGAGCTTATAACTGCCTTAGACTTTACTTCCTCATTCTGTAAACCCTCAAGGTATTCAGTGGTGAGGGCTTAGGGCTTTCCCTATCTCTCCTGAGCATGCACACAGCACTGGGCATGAGCACATCCCTATGCGTATGAATGGCCATCTAGAGTCCCAGGAATATGTCAGAGCCTTTCAAAGCACCCTGTAGCCACCTCACAGTGATAGAAAGCAGATCAGTGGTTGCCTAGGGCCAGCAGTAGGGGGATGGGTACACAAGTGATGAAAACATTGTTATACAGGTATGTACATTTGTCACCTCACATTGAACTTTATACTTTTAAACAGTCTATGTAAATTATACCTCAACAAAGATTTTTTAAAAGATGTAATTCAAAAAGCATGGTCTGCAGGAGACACCTTCCTCCTGATCCTCTAAAAACCAAGTCTCCACTCTCATACGTGCAGGACAAGGACAGGGTGGGAGGAAAAAGAGCCAAAGCCCTCCAAATGCCTGAAGGGAACTGCCCATGCTGGGCCTGGCACAGCCAGATGAGCCAGGGTTAAGTCAGAAATACAGATCTGTATGTGTAAAGTCTGTTGGCACCCAATTCTTAACTTTTAATAATGCTACACAAGCTAAACAAAATGAGCTGGCAGGCAAGATGTGACTCCCAGGCAGCCGGCTTGTGTGCATCCTAAAATTTTCCCTGGGTTCAGCCAGCAGAGCTGTGAACTCACACCACAGTGGCTTTTTCTGGGTGGGCCTTGGCATGCCGCGCTCACCTTCCTTGAAGGAGGAAGGAGCGCTGCTTGAAGGAGGAAGGGAGAACCAGTCCAGTGCTATGGGTCTGGGCCAGCCCATGAGATGGGGCCTTAAAGCCTCTCTTGGTAGACTAGCTCTGTAGGAACAAACAGGACACCCTCTCTTCTGATTCTGTATATCTTCTGGGGGCTCCTACTGTACTTCAGGGGTACCTGACCTGGGTTGCTCCTGGAAAGGCAGGACAGCCCATGGAGGCCCCCAGCATTTACTACTGCTGAGAACTGTGCCCTGAGGGGTTTGGGGCTTGTGCTCTTGCCACTGCCATTGGAACACATGTGGCAGTTCTCCTGCCTCATTCTTTTTGGGGCATGGCCCACTCTGCCAGGCATCTGACATGTTCTTTGTCCCTGGCTCAGTTTGGGGGCAGCCCAGTGTCCTGCGCTGTGGGACTGGCTGTCCTGAATGTCTTGGAAAAGGAGCAGCTCCAGGCTCACGCCACCAGTGTGGGCAGCTTCCTGATGGAGCTCCTCGGGCAGCAAAAAATCAAACATCCCATCATCGGGGACGTCAGGTGAGGCTCTGGGGGCAGCAGTCACCACCCACCTGCCAGGGCCCAGTGTGGTACCATTTCCTTCACCTCCTAACCACCTGGGATGGTGGGATTATGTCCACTCTCATGAGGAATTGAGACACTGAGAGGTGCTATTGCCCAAAACAGCACTCCTGGGTACAAGAAAGCCAGTACATGACCGGAGCCCTAGCTACGCCCAAGCCTGTCTCCTCTGTCCACACCAAAGATCCTTCCCAGTCCAGTTACTCCCTGAAACTGTTCCCACCACCTTCTGAGGGTGCCTCCTATGCTCAGCCTCCCCAGGAGGCACAGGTAGGAGCCCAGGCAGAGGGTGAAGCGAGCACCCTGGCCCCTCAGGCCTGGTCTCCTGAGATGTCACCTTCCCCTCCAGGGGTGTTGGGCTCTTCATTGGTGTGGATCTGATCAAAGATGTGGCCACGAGGACACCAGCAACTGAAGAGGCTGCCTATTTGGTATCAAGGTATTTTCTTCTTCAAACAAGTTGTTTCCTGGAGTAGCAGACATCCCAGGTGCCTCTTTGCAGGGCCAGGGGCCCCAAGTGGAAAGGAGCATCTTCATCTGTACCCCAATTCCTCAGCACTCTGGGCCAGACTTAACTGAAAAGAGGGCTGGGGGCTTGGGGGGACAGCTGATCCTATCAGCTGAGGACAGAGGTAAATGGCATTAGCAGTTCTGTACCCAATGACTGACCGCAAAGGCCGCAGATGAGACACAGGCTGTTCCCAGCTCAGAAGCACCTCTGCCTAGAATGCCCAAGTTAGCAGGGTGCTCAGACCCAGGAACCCCTAATGCCACCTCCCACAGGCTGAGGGCTGGAGAAGGGAAGCAGCTTCTCCAGTCACACCAGGGAGCTGTGGCAGCACCAGACTCTGGGTTCCTATGCCACATAACAGGTGGTTGGGATGGACAAGACTCCTGCTACTAAGCTGGGTCAGGGGTGTCTCAGAACTCAAGACTCCACCGGCCCCACTGCCCCGGTTTGCTTTCACTTGGACCCCAAGGCCCTAGGACTTCTTCCCCTTCTAGTTTATGATTCCCTTTTATCTCCATTCCCCAGGCCTACACCCTCCCCTCTCCCCCACCATTTAAAGTTCTTCTGGTATCTGATGTGTCCTTATTCTAACTGTGAGACATGCATGGTGTTGTAAATTACCCTGTGCTGTATTTGAGCTTGGCCTGCCTTCTCAGTCACATCCCCAGCTTACCCCTACCCCCTTCCCAGGAACCTCAGGGATTCAGAATGGTCGGGTGGCATGGAAGGAAACCCACCCTTTCATCTCACAATACCCTGGGGGTGTTTTTCCAGTTGAGTGAGAAAATGGGTAAGTCACCTGCCGTCACCCTGCTAGGTGGCAAGACCTAGATCTGGCCCCAGGGCCATATAACTTCAAAGTCCAAGCCCTGTTCTTTCTGGCATGGCCATGGTCAGTGCCAAAAAGACAAGGATACGAAAATGAAGCCAGAAGGCAGACTCCCCACCCTCTGCCAAGGCAAAAAAATAACAAGGTTTACAAAAAAAATGGGAACAAGGATCAAAGAATATAAACACAATCATGCACACCCCTCATCTCAGAGATGAGGTTAGGCTGTGGACTAAAAGTGATTGGTAGCTACAAATAAGATAAAGCCATCTTCCTAAAAATAATTGGAAATTTTAAACTGGAATTCTAAAATAACCCAGAAGACAGGGCAGGGAGATTCCTGAAGCTAGTGAGCAGCACGTGGGACTCATTATACCAACTGCACTGTTGGACATTATATAAGGAAACTATCCATCACATAAACCATACACAAAACCAGAGAACTGCAGTCTGGTGTTTCCCGGTGGCCATTCATTCTTGGCTTGGACTGGGGCTCCAAGGTTAGGTGCAGCAAGGCACCTGTTCTGGGGGCAGCATGTTCAGGGCCAGGTGTGATACACCCCAAGCAGGGGCTGCTGTGGGCCAGATGCACAGGACTTTGGCAGAGATGACCAGTATGGTGTCCTGGCAGGAACTGGGCCATGAAAGGCTCCAAAGGCAGTGTGGCTGAAGCACTGGATTTGAGGCCCTGGCCAGGCTGAGGAAGGCCTTTGAAGGCCATGTAAAGGGGTGTCCTATCCTCACAGGCTGAAGGAGAACTACGTTTTGCTGAGCACTGATGGCCCTGGGAGGAACATCCTGAAGTTTAAGCCCCCAATGTGCTTCAGCCTGGACAATGCACGGCATGTGGTAGCAAAGCTGGATGCCATCCTGACTGGTGAGCTTGAACCCAGCAGCTAGAGCCTCCTAGCATGGAACAGGGAGGGGACAAGAGTCCAAGAGCAAAGGCACATGTCCTCTGGACAGGGCAGGGAGCAACAAGCAGAGAGGGACCTTCATGGCCCAAGCTGCTACTATTCCTTGCCTGTGCCTCACAGCTTCCGGGGCTATGGGGAGATGGAAGCTCAACCACCACCCAGCCTGCCTGAGCAGGCATCAGATGGATGCAGGACAAAACAAGGCTGGCCTGAGAAACTGGCCATAAGAACTACAGTGGGAGGTGAGAACCCGTTACTGCCAGCCTAGGGTGTAGCAATGGCAGGGAGTTTCATTCTGTCCATGAGCCAGGTCACATGAGGCTGCTGGGTGGCTGAAATAAGATTTGCACCGAGGGCTGACTGAATGCAAAATGAAAATTCTATCCCACATTCCCCTTCACCTAGGATAGTCAGTGTCAACCCGGAGTCCCCCCAAATCCATTTACAAGGAAATCTCCTGGCTGCATTGCTATTTACAGCTCAGTGAGACCCCAAATAGGCAAAGCTACATCTCACAGTAGAGATCAATGCTGCCACCCAAGCAACCTGTGCCCTTCTACCTCTAGATGATTACTGCTACCCATAGGCGTGTTTAATTCCCAGGGCTCTGGAGCTGGGGGAGACCCATCCCTGCTAGACACAATTGGAAGTGGTAGGGATCTGATGCGGAAGGAAATGTGTTTGTGGGGCTCAAAGGCTGGCCACAGAATTGGCTTAGGGATCCTGGGCAGAGCTTAGAAGTCTAGAACTGAAGGCTGACTTTGTGCTTTTCAGGAAATTGCTGCTACCCCTTTGGGGAGTAAGACATGGGTGTGGATAGCCAGGGGGCCTAATCTCTGAGCTCCCAGTTTGGACACTGAAGTAACAGGGGGTCTTCAGAGAAAGGTGAGTGAGTTGGGGTGGCTTTGTGGTCTTTTTCAGACATGGAAGAGAAGGTGAGAAGTTGTGAGACGCTGAGGCTCCAGCCCTAAGCCAGCCTGCTCTGCCTAAGTGTACACTCCAGGTGAGTGGGCCTTGTTTCTTGCTGTTGGAGATGCCGAGCAGGTTCCTTACCATCAGCAGTGAGCAGCCTTAGCAAGCTGTGCCTTTATAAAAGACGTTTTTGTTCTGATTGATGCTCCTTCCCAAAGGTTAGTTTCAACACTGGAAAATCTCCAACGTTTAGCTTGCATTTGATGGCAGGAATAGCCGTTTCCTCCCTTGAAACCTACGGAGCTGTATCCACGTGGAAGCCCAACCTGCCGGTACCTCTTGTAACCACCTATTCTTATGCCCCAAATACCTGACCTGGAGTTGGGCTCCCATCCAGCCAATAAATAAACCCTGCTAGAGCAGGCTTTTCTGTACCAGCCAGGAGGGGGCACTATTGTGCCCCAATTCAGCTGACTCTGGCACTGACCTACTGTGTAAAGAATTGCATTTTCGGCTAGGCGTGTTGACTCACGCCTGTAATCCCAGCACTTTAGGGGGCCGAGATGAGAGGATCACGAAGTCAGGAGATGGAGACCATCCTGGCCAACATAGTGAAACCCTGTCTCTACTAAATAGAAAAAAAATTAGGTGGGTTTGGTGGCATGTGCCTGTAGTCTCAGCTTGAACCCGGGCAGTGGAGGTTGCAGTGAGCCAAGAATGTGCCACTGCACTCCATCCAGGCAACAGAGCAAGATTCCATCTCAAAAAA